GGCACATGTAGCGCGTTGGTGTCGATGTAGTACTTCCGTTTGGGCGCGGCTGCGTCCTTATTGGCCGCCGCCGAGTCCACCTCCATGGGCGTGCCGATCTGCGCGGCGGCCGTGGCCTCCTCGAGCACGCCGACCGTGGCCGGGATCTCCGACTTGGGCGCCTCCTCACCAGCATACCCGGCGCGCAGCGAGTAGTGGCCCAGGTCGAACACCAGCGCGCCCACCTCGTCTGAGAAGCGTCAGAGGAGTGAGCACCGGCATCGCAACTTACGGCGGTGGGTGGTAGGCTCGTCAGGATAACATGAGACTGCACTGTCACTGATATTGAACAGGATGCTTGTGGCATGCCAGCTGACTGTTAGAAGTCTGTGTTAAATCGTCTTGTAACACTGATGTGCAATGTTTTGAATGCCTCCCTAGCAGAACAAGGAAAAAAATATTGATAACAGGCTAAAGCCAACATAGTTCATCAATAAAACTAAAAAAGCTCCATAAAATGACAATTATTCTAAAAATAAATGAGCTACATTACATACCTCCTCCATAGACTCCCCCACTCATTTTGTATGTTGAAGTATACCAATGTGAATCTCCACCCCAGTGAGGAGATGCAAATTATTTTCTGAAAAAGAGGTTGTGCATAATGTAAGGCAACTCTGACATATGATAGTATGGACTATGTCTATGAGAATGATGAGTTGAAGACAGTGAGCTGAAGCCCATTATAACTATCCTATGCCACCCTGACATCAGCATATGCTCCAGTCTTTATACAGTACGATCTAGGAGAGATTTTTTGTCAACTTGGAAGCAGGCATTGAAAGAATTGATTCCATGCTCAGCGCAGGCATCAAGCATACCCTGAAAATTGTACATCACCATTAGAGTTAATGTTTGAGTGTACATCACCACTAGAGTTCATGTTTGAGATGTTTTGCACCTAACTTGAGATGACTTGAAAAATTTCTTGCGCATCCCAAGATCTTACTTTTCACTTGAATGCTTGACACAGCGTCATGAAAAAAAATGGCAGACCCAGAACCTAAGCAGAGTTTGTCACCCAGGGCCGCTACGGCCTTACCATCAGTTTTGGCATTCTAGGCATAATAATTGTGGGATTTGGATGTCAGATCCAAGCATTCCCTGCGAAGCCAGTCAGTCCATCTTATTTGACTGCCTTCACCAGGTTGAGGTTGCACATTGCTCTCACTATCCCATCACAAGTTTTGTGTACCAAGTGCCAAAGCAACATGAACTTCATCAGGAGTTGCTGTTTTGATAACGAAATTAATAGTAGTTAGTAGTATTGCACACGTATTGCACGCTGCAGTGAGATACAGGACTCCTAAGGTTGTGGCATGACATACATTAGGTGGGTCCAGTGACGGTCAAGTCGTGCCTTGCATGTCGAGAGCGTTTCGGCAGACACAACTTCAGCAGGTAGAGCGTTCCAGTCGCTGACGATGCGGACACTGAAGCTGCTTCGTCGAGCGAGTGTCACAGCTCGGGGTCTGAGCACTTTCCATCCGTGTCCTCTCGCTCGTCAGCTCAGTCTCGTTCTGGGTGAAGAAGGTGGTTGGCAGCACATCGCTTCCACCTTGGAACAGCTAGTAGTCAGCATGTCTCCCCTGTGGCGGCGGTAGAACGGCGACGGCAGTCGGAGACGCTCCGGACGCACGGGGTAGAGAAGGTGCTCAATGGATCACACCATTCGCGTGGCGCGTCTCTGGACCTTTTCCAAGCATTTCTGGTCTCCTTTGCTGAACGGTCCCCATACTGCGTTCCCACACTCCAGAACGGGCAGACAAGAGCCTTGTAGAGCAATTGTAGGGTCGTCGATGTGAGCGAAAGATCTCTTGATGACGGCGAGCAGCTGCGAGGCTTTTGAGACGGCCGCCAACGTTTGCGAATGGAACTTCAGCTCCGAGTCGATTATGATCCCCAGATCCCTTTCTTCATCTACTACGGCGATGGGCGTCCCGTCCAGCCTATACTCGTGTGCAGGGTTCCTTTTAAGCCCATGTGCATCCCCTTACACTTGGCTACGTTGAACGGCAGAGGACCATCGTGCCAGAGCGTCCAGATCACTCTGAGGACCAGCACCACGGTCGGATGGATGTGTGAGTGGCTTATATAGCTTGGTGTCGTCCGCGAACATCTTCACGCAGCTTGAGACCGACTGGAAAACGTCCATACACTACGCCGGACGTCCGTGAGACCTTCTTGCGCCGAAATTCGGCGCATGCGAATTTGTGCTGAAATTTCTGCATGATTCGCGCCGAAAATTGGGTGCCTATTTGTGCCAAAATTAAGCCACTTTTATATAAAGCACATGTACGCATCTACCGATCAAGGCTATATCAACCAGACAGAGCATTCCGGGACCTTGGACGCCCTCCCATGTTTGAGCGTCCGAATAAGTCTTATTTTCACGGGAACCCAATGCCTCAATACGCTTAGGGCACTGTAGCGTCGTGCCGTGAAACAAGGCTGGAGCCGGAAGTTTCGGGGCCACACAAATCGGCGGAGCGGTGTGTTCGAGGCTGGCGGGAGCCAGCGAGGGCCGGTCAGAAGAGCAGCACGTGCTCCCGCACATCAGCCTCTTCTCAGCACATAGCGTAGAGCGCCGCGGGGCACCGCTTGTCTGGGCACTGCTGGCACGCCGCGGAGTGGAGACAGTCGATTTGGTGCACGTACTGGAGCGAGCGGCCCCAATGGCCCGCCCTCATCTGGCGCACCGAAACGACATCCTCTCGGTCCTTTCCGGGGATAGGGAGCGGCGGCGTGCTCCCGAGGAGTGGCTTGAGTAGTGACTCGGGCCAGCTGTCGCGCCACTGATACGAGGCCGCACAATGAACCACCCTGGTCAGCGAGCGGGCGTTTGAGGGCAGGGCGGCCGCTTGCTTCGCCAGGTCGTCTGGGATCTCATTCCCCTCGATACCGCAGTGGGCACGAACCCACTGCAGTATTACTTAACGACGCTCAGCAATGTTCAAAGGCCGGCACAAGTCTGTTCAAAAGGGTCCTCCATACCTATCTCCACCCCGAGGGTTGAGGCCTGGCCTGGGCGGCCGCTCCTCCGCCGAGTAGACTCAGGGCGGCTCGCCAATTCAAACACGCGACGACCGGAGCGGGGACGTCTCGTCCCGAAACCTCTCCAGTGCTGCCCTCAGGGCGAATCTGCTGCTAGACTGACCAGCGTGCCGACTAAATTCGGTGAACATCATTCACCAACGAATTATGCGACCACCCTGTGCCGAAAATTCAGCCGCCGCCATGCACTGGGCGGTGTTTCACAACCATGCTGCCAGCCACTGCCAGCGCATCCAGCGAGCTGACATACTTGTGGTAGTGTTGGAGCTATGGGGTTGTTGATGTTTCCAAGATGTTTCCATGGAAGCCCAAATTGCCATGTGTGCTGGTAGGGCGCTGCCCGGCTGGCAGTGTCTGTGAAACACCGCGTGGCATTCGGCGCAAGCTAAGTTACGCCGGACGTGCGCTGGAATTTTTACCACAATCCCGCCACTACGCCGGTAATATTTGGCATAACATGCATTTTTTTCCAGTCTGGCTTGAGAGTTGAGACCTCCAGTGGCATACCATTGATAAATATTGTGAAGACCGTTGGAACCAAAACTGAGCCTTGAGGGATACCACTAGAGACAGGTGGTCAGGTGCCCACTCAGAGCTGCATCCCCGGATTAGCACCCATTGGTGACGGCCAACTATGAAGGCCCGTATCCAGGTGAGATTTGAGAAGCTTGCCCCCATCATCATACCACTTCAGCTTCTCGAGAAGATGCAATCTCAGGATTATTTTGTCCTATTACTTTGTACAACTATAGCCCTGCATAAATACCTGATAGGTACCTGATTAATGGGATCGGAAGAAGCACGAGGATTGCCTGGTAGCCCCTTCTGATCGAGCTCGGGAAGTGTCAACAAACTTGGTCTATTGGTTTGTTTGGTACTGGAGTTCTCTCCAGGGCTTGTCAAGCCGGTTTTTGTAGCTGTTGACTGAAGGTGCGTAGACATCTTCAGGGAGACCGTTCCAATTGGTCACTACCTGGGCTGAAAGGTGCTGGCGCCTGACCCGACTGGTTGCAGGCTTTTTGGCAATCTTCAGTCTGTGGCCACGAGTACACATTGTGAGTACAGGCATGAAGAAGTCCTCCTTGTTCAAGTCGCAGCGACTGTGAATAATGTTGTATGTCGAGATCACATTGCCGCGACAACGCCAGTATTGCAGGGACGAAAGGTTCAGTTCTCTCAACCTTTCCTCATACGGAAGGTGTAGAAGTTTAGGGACAAGGCGGGTCGCTATACATTGTACCCTCTCGACCCGTCGCCTGTCCGCAGCATTGAACGGGCCCCATATCTGATAACAGTACTCTAAGTACAGACTGCAGACGGACCAGTGCTTTGTTCAGTACAGGGAGCGTTGACCAAAAATGCAAGGACAATCACCACAAGCCCACACATGAATTTAAATTGTCATTTGAAGGTACCTATTTTAATTTATCAAGCAGTTGCGGGCTGCGGCAAAACAATGGATAAAAATCATGAAATGAAACGAATAAGAGATGTTTGACAAATTAAAATAATTTCACTGTATATCATTTGACATTATATTAAGTTGTAACACTAAATACGACAAAATTCATTCATACCTTCCCTTCCAGGCACTGGTATTGAAGTGAAACACCGGTTGCGGCAAAAGTAGCGCAGGCGGGCGCTAGATGTAATAGAGAGTGGCAAAATAGAGAATTTGATGACTTGAGTACAACGTTTTCTTTTAAAATGAAATACTGGTGACAAAAACGGAAATGCGAAGATAGAATTGAATGGCTTTCAGCAAATCAAATACACTTATTAAATATAAATAAATCACGCGACAAGAATATTTTGAGAATAAAACTGAACAAAGTACCTGTCAGAAAAGCTGTAAAATTACAAGTACTCACATCACTAGAACACATGCTGCTAGGCATTTATGGCGCAAACAATTGCTTCAGAGTAAATATCACGCTGCGTGATAAGCGATAAGACTGGGAATTGAAAAGAGGAGGTGCTGCGATTATAATTATCAATTTTCCCCGTACTCTTCTTCATAAGGTACTTATCTCTTATTTTGATCATCACATAATTTGGAACACAACAGACAGGAGCAAACCAGTGAATGGGTAGAGGTGATTGTACCAAAATTGTACCTATTTTGGCTTGGGATGGGTGTCAATGGGGGAATTCTTCTAAAAAGGGGATAAGAGTTAAAAGGTGTTAACTGCTCTCCTCAACATACCTGGGTACACACTCTACACCAATTTCTCGCTATCATCTCCTAATCTTGGATGCAGCGGCATAAGAGGAGTATGCATCTACGCAGCTGATTATCTCAGGGTGTCAGAAGTCTCTCTCAGCTCATCGTCAGTGGAACATGTGTGGCTTAGACTGTCACTGATTGGGAGTGACTGTCTGCTGCTGGGATGTGTTTACCGCAGTCCGTCAAGATCTGATGAAGAGCATGCCACTCACCTGGGTCAGCTCATTCGACAGGCAAGTTCGATGTCCTACTCTCATCTGGTGATTGTAGGAGATTTCAACTTTCCCCAGATCAATTGGGAAACTGAAGCATCCAACGCACCTGACACCCATCTTTCTCAAACTTTTCTCGACACGATACATGACTGCTTCCTTTTCCAGCACGTCCGCTCTCCTACTAGATTTCGATTGGGTGAAACTCCAAATGTACTGGACCTGGTGTTAACCAACGAAGAAGGCATGATTCGTAATCTCGAGCACCTTCCTGGACTCGCCAGAAGCGATCATGTTGTCCTGAAATTTACTGTTGTTTGCTATGCGGATGTGTGTACCTCACACCGCCCACCGATTCTACACATCAACTACGAGCGCCTTGCAGGTGTCCTGAGGTCACGAAACTGGGATGATATCAGAAACTTGGACCTGGAAGAAGCATACGAATCGTTCAAGTCGCAAATCGCCGGAGACGTTGAAGACTGTTCGGTCAAGAGAAGCGCCCACTCCAGGAAGAACCTCTACATGAATCGGGCGGCGATGCAGCTGAGAAAGAGGAAGCAGGTGCTGTGGGGCGTCTACCGTCAAACTCTCGACAACGTGGATCATGCCCGGTTTGTGAGGTGCAGAAATCAGCTTAGGGGCCTGACGAGAAAACTTCGAAGGGACCACGAGTCAAAGCTGGCATCGAACCTCAGACAGAACCCCAAAGCATTTTGGGGGTACGCCAACTCTAGGCTGCGTACTAGGTGCCGTGTTGAAGACCTGATGGATGACAACGGTGAGCTTGTGTCCAGCAACCGAGCAAAAGCTGAAGTACTAAGCAGGTTCTTCTCCAGCGTCTACACCTCAGAGGGAGCTGAGCCTCCCCCAGCTCTGCCATGCAACTTCCAGGGACCCCCACTGGTTGACGTGGATGTATCGCCACAGAAAGTTGAGGCTAAGCTGGCGGTCTTGAAGCCAACTAGCTCGCCAGGGCCGGATGCTATTCATCCCCGAGTGCTCCGCGAGTCTGCAGGCCCCCTGTCCGTACCCTTGAGTTTGCTATTTGCAAAGTCACTGGAAGCAGGAAGTCTCCCCTCTGATTGGAAGATTGGCGAAGTAGTCCCCATATACAAGAAAGGCGACCGCAGAAACCCCGCGAGCTACCGACCAGTGAGCCTTACCTCCATTCCGTCAAAGGTGCTCGAGTCCATCATTCGCGACCATCTTCTTCAACACTTCACGGACAGTGGACTGCTGCATGCGGCTCAGCACGGATTTCTCCCGAGGAGATCATGTTCCAGTCAGCTACTGGAGGTGATGGAAGATTGGAGTGCTGCATTGGAAGATGGTGACCCAGTTGATGTCGTATACCTCGACTTTGCCAAAGCCTTCGACTCGGTGCCGCATCAGCGACTCCTCAGTAAGCTGCGCGCCTATGGAGTCGGGGGGAAGCTGCTGAGTTGGATTGAGGCTTTCCTTGTTGGTCGTACTCAGAGGGTTGTGCTGCAGGGATCGAGGTCTGGCTGGGTCCCCGTCACCAGCGGTATCCCCCAGGGATCTGTCCTTGGTCCCGCCCTCTTCACGATTTTCGTCAATGACATGCCCCAGCAAGTGTCGAGCTGTGTCAAGCTGTTTGCAGACGACACAAAACTCTACCGTCGTGTGACAGGTGACCCTGCCGGCCTTCAAGCTGACATCAACGCTCTGGTCAACTGGTCGAAGAAGTGGCTGTTGCCCTTCAATGTGTCGAAGTGCAAAGTGATGCATGTCGGAGGTCTGAATCCTGAGCACACATACTTACTGGATAACGCCGCGATTGAGAGCGTGAGCGAAGAGAGGGATCTGGGCATCATTATCGACGAGAACCTGAAGTTCCACCAACAAACTGCTGCTGCCATTGCAAAAGCGACCCAGATGTTGGCTGTTGTGAGGCGCTCATTTGCTACCCTCGACGTGATCACGCTGCCTCTGCTGTACAAGTCTGTGGTGAGACCGTTCCTCGAGTACGGCAACATTGTATGGGGGCCATTTGGCAGAGTCAACCAGAAACGGTTGGAGCGGGTACAACGTCGAGCGACTCGCATGGTTGACACCATCAGACATCTCCCATACACCGAGCGTCTGCGCCGTCTCGACATACCGTCGCTGTACTATCGTCGTCGCCGAGGGGACATGGTGACAGTGTTTCAGCTGTTCCATGGTGGCATGTCAGTGGTTCCTGAAGCGCTTCCGACCAGACACAGCTCCGACCGCACAAGGGGACATCAGTGGAAGCTGCAGAAACCGAACGCAAGAACGCTCACGAGGAGGAACACCTTCAGCACAAGAGTCGTGAATGACTGGAACTCTCTGCCAGCTTCTGTAGTGTCTGCCACCAGCGTCAATCAGTTCAAGGCCAGGCTGGACGAACACTGGAAAAGCCTGAAGTATGACATTCCATACCCATAAGAGCCCAGACTGTCCTAGTCCTAGAGCTCGATGAGAACGGGATCTCCAGGCCAAGTGGCCTTTTCCCTCCCGATCACTGTGAAGGTAAGGTAAGGTAAGGTGTTAGTAAGATCAGGCCAAAAAAGAATGGAAAAGGGCATGAATTTGTATACTAGCATGGTATATTAGAATGTAGGACTTAAAACGACCATCCATGCAAATCAAAACGCTTTTTCTCATGGAATGAAAAATTGCACTTGAAACTCAAGATGAGAGATTAAAAGGATTTTCCTTTGAATGTTGTTTCCTCCGTTCCGTTGCTTCCATCCTCAGGATACTGAAATCCTTCTCCTCCACACCGCACTCCGGGTTGGACAGGCACCTTTATCGCTTGTGAGCTGCTCTCTTGGAGCGGCACTGCTGATTCTGAGGGAGAGCACCCTGTAGCTGGCCGCAGGGAGTGCTTGGGGGGGGGGGCTGGACGGCCTGTCCATCTGGACAGGCTCAGACTTTCTAGGGTGTCTGCCCAGACCAATGTCTCCCCCTAATTCCTATCATCCTTCTGGCTCTGAAATGGTCTTGTCAGCCCAAAAGGGTCTAACCCAACAAAACAAACAAATGTTGTTTCCCATTTATCTGATTTTGCGACACTGTAGGTAGGACTGTAGGTCCTAACTCCTAAGTGTAGACTGTAGATAAAACTTCATTTTCAAGATTGCATTAACACTTCAGTGATTCTTGCTATGGATGAAGGACTGGGGTGCCTATTGCCTACTAAGTATAATTTACATTTTCTAACTTTATTTTTTAATCTCTTATTGCATGCAATGTATGAACATTGTATGAACACCAACCTCATGAACATTTTAATTTCATTTTAAGGTGAAGTAAATCATTACTGGATTGAGGGATGTTTTTGCCAAGAGTCTGAGCATACTTTTGCTCTTGTGTTAATATTTGATGTGAATTGAAATAAGTTTTCCGTGTCCTGACTGTACCTACCTATCTAGTTCTTTCTCCATCCTCATATTCAGGTACTTTACAAACTAGTGCTATTTATGCTAGGTTGTGTGTCATGCTGACCCTTACCCTACATAGGTATTTTGTGAAAAGAAACTGACATGTTTAAGAATAAATATATATTTCTTGCTTTCTTGACTGGGACCCTGACATAACAAGCTGCTTAAAACAGCATTGTGTTGCTTCATCAGTTATTACCTAGGTGAATTTTACTTGTACATAAGCATGATTACTTCTTAGCTTGCATGTCTTGTCATCATGCAATATTCAATATAACGTTTCTCTGTGATGGTGATAGGTATTGTTTCTGTGTTGCTGAGAATGATGATTTTTTTCATTTCAGTTATGGCTGGTGTTCCACTGGTCACCAAAAATGACTTCAGAAAGAAGGTATGGGACCATTTAGAAAAGAATGATTTGGCAGAGTTTCCAAGACCTGTGCATAATAGGTAAGTAAACTGTCTGTTCCATTCGCATGCTACTATAGGCTTAAGGTTATTTTCAGCGATTTTTCACGAAAGTTGCCTTGCTCTGAATGCAAAGCTGTATACAGATTAATTACTATAAGTTACACAAGTTAATTAGTGCCCCTTGCTAGAATTCCATGCCACATCTTCCCTCCTCCCTCCGTGTGCGCGTGTGCCTTCTCGTGCCATGTTTATCCATCACGTCTCGCCTTCCCCTCCCCGCGCGGGCGCGGCACCTCAGTCGTCTATTTTGGGACGGAGTCTGCCAGGGCGCGATGTCGCTTCCGCCGCCGGTCGGTGACAGGATCCTATCAGCAATGTCTGGGAGGTGGAGCTGATCTGCACTGGGCAGATAAAACGCGCAACAGAGATCGTAATCTTTCCAGTTTCGTTTTTTCCGTTTTAATGCCGCATAAGTCGAGACTGAAGTCGAGACCTGATGCTGCCATCTGCCAACGCTTTGAACATAGATCATTTATCGATCGTTCGGAGCTGTTTGACATATCGAAACTGATATTGGTTTCCTTTGTTCAAACGGATTACTAAGGAAATGAATGTTTAGCATCATCTACTAAATTTGCGATGTTATTTTACTATTTCAGAATTCACTCATTGACGTTTAAAAATGCGGAGGGAGAACCCGGAACAGCATTAGGTCGGTGATTTCCGAACGTTTCGTAGACAGGTTTTCTGAAGGACATAATGGTAGGCGAGTAGTACTTCCAGTGAGTCCACTAATGGTTGTTACGGGGAAACGGTGAACTGGAAGCGCTGCTTAAAGATCGAACTGTCACATGGGCCACTTGTGTAGCCTGAGTGCCGTCTATAGCGTGGGATCAACCGTACGCGGAATCCGCCTTCTGTCGACAGTCGACAGATTCTAGCAGGGTTTAGCAACCCTGCTAAACCGGTTGCCGGTGGGGGCCATAGAGCTAGACTCGCGGGGCTTCAAGCGCGCTGCTAAGGCACTTGTTCTGTCGTAGCTTTTATGTGTGCATGTGAGCGTGCAGGTATGACTATGATGCTATCTGTGATATTTTGACAAGTTTCCCGCCCATGTGTTAACTTTGTAACAACTGACACAGAATAGCCACGTCTGCACTGTGGAGTGTCTGCGGAAGTCGTAAATAAATAAATAAATAAATTCTGGTCTGGCTCCATCGACACTTTAGCTATGTATCAATGATTCTATGCAATATCACATCGTGTCGAATACCTATTCATCTTTGCGTTGTGTAATACAGTGTGCCCAGTGGTTCGATTCTAGACTGTCAGTCGTCTGAAAAACCAGCTGCCGGAGCCTGTCCGGTTTCTACCTCGGTGACCGTGATGTAGTTGGGTCAATATATGCCAGACCCGGCGCCGGCGAGCGTCCTGGCATACACACGACGTGAGTGCAGTGTTTGCGGCTGGGTTGGTGGCTGCCGAGCCTCGCTGGGGGCTGCCGCAGGGTTGGGCGGCTCCGGGAGGGCCGGTCTGTCGCGGAACGGGGTGACGTCATCTTTATGATGTCATCGGTATGATGTCACCATGCAGGTTGGTCCGAAACGATGACATCACAGACCTCGTGCGTCGATGTCGATGCGTCACTGAGTACTAAAGGGATGGCTTCTGAAAGATTATCTAACGTAGATCATAAATTGCAGTGCCATCAGTGCTTATGGTCTGCCTCGATTTGAAATATTCCTTATATTGATCGGCAAATGGCTGTTGGTAGCGAATTTTCCGAAACGTGGCTATCGCCCTCCCACGGGCTCGGTTATATAATGCTAGGCTATCACGACACTGACACTCTTCCCCTTTATATTGCTGGGTTTGCGGTGCCAGTGTTTGGGTAGGGTGTCGGCGGGTCTGCGGATGGGTGGCGGCTAGTGACGCCCGCGAAGTCTGAGTGTGATTAATCTAAATCGATGTCCCTGTGGACTAAGACTCTACCCTCTCGAACTAACTGGGTCAGGTCGGGTGGCTGTGCACTGTGCGGGTTGTGGGCGGCACAGTGACTGGGATGCGGGCGGTCGACACTCCCAGTGGCCGGTGATGAAATCCCACGCCACCACCCGGCTGCTGGGGAGCGACCCCTCCCTGCGCTGCCTCCGGAGCGGGCCAGCCCGTCGGCCGGCACTCAGTAATGGACTGGGTGTTTGTATGTGTGTTTATTTCACGGCTGTTTGCCTCATGGCGATGTCTGTCCTCACCCTCGCCTCTGCATGGACACTTGCGCACCGCGTCTTGTTACCTGTGTATTGTGTACTCAACTTCCCGACTCTGCTACCCGTAATTGCTAATGCAGCTTTTTTAGATTGTTGCGAATTTTCCGGTAAACATCTCGCGGCGACCCTGTAAGGTTTGGTGGATATTTTCAAAACATCCACTCCTTCCCTTGAATCCGTTCCATTCCGTTTCACGTTACACGTGTCCAGTGGTATTTTATAGCACCAACTACTAGTACAGCATAAAGGCTAACTTGCGATACTCGCCGCTTCATTGATGCCTCGGATCGTTTCAGGATCCCCAACTTCAAGGGCGGCGCGACGGCGGCGCACTCGCTGGCCGCACTCGACGAGTTCAAGCAGGCCAAGGTGGTGAAGGTGAACCCGGACAAGCCGCAGGAGACCGTGCGCTTCCTGGCACTGGAGGTGAGTCTTCCAGGTGTAGGAGGTGAGAACTGTAGGCGCTGGAAGTGAGTGGTGAGCTGAATTGGTGCAGGAAGTCAGAATTTTCTACGCTAGAAGTGAGAAGTCAGCTTCATTGGTGCGGGAGATAATACTGTCGACAATGGAAGTGTGATATGACTGACAGGCTAACTTGTGACAGGCAGGCCGTAACCGACCGTGCTTGTGGGATCCGACGGTATTCAGTTTTTCTTCTATTCGACTTGAATCAGATCGATATCATTATTTGCCTGTTATAGCAAAGTTAAGGTGCTGGTCATTTTGCACTCCTTTACATGAGTATACGAAGCCTCGCCATTCCACACCTGCGCAACTACTTCCCCATGGACTCCCATTCAGTCCCGCTCAGTAGAGGCTTGGCCCGTGCACCGTCTGGAGATAATGCCTGGCTTTCGTTTCGGCTGGGCTCTGGAGCGTGCTCTGTAAACTGTGACCTGAAGACCGCTGAAAAGACGGCTCAGGTGGCGAAGAACGGGCGCTGCCTCGATAGTTAGGTCGCAAGGCTAATTTTTATGCTTGCTACCCGAATGATGGTACTCCGGAGAAAGAAGAAGTTAATCTGGTCCTGTAACTGGCAAACTGGAGTTATAGGTACTTTATTCCATAGACAAATTGAGCTATTTATTTTAAAAGTTGCCCGGGCTTGACCGACTGAACCTAGTTATTACTTTTCTTATAAACCTTTGATGTCCACGTAAGGCCTGCAACCTACTACCTGTAACGCGTAAACCTGTCAGATATACGGGTGAAAACACTTCTAGTCGTTCCTGGCTAAGTAGTAATTGGAATTGCCAATTATAATTCTCGATTTTGTGTTTCTTGCTACCTAAACCACGCCATGGTACGGCTCTCCAGTAAAAGTCTTGTTGGTTTTGCTTTTTCGGACATATCTGGTCCTATATAATGTTTAAATGCATAAGTATCAACCCGGATTATGTGTATGCACATTTACCACGAGACTGTGAAATTTCATCGTTGTATGCCAAATACTTTCCGAGATATCCACCAAAAACCTCATTTTCTGCCGTTTGGGGTATTCTGGCCGCAATCTTCCTGGGGTCGCCTATGACATCCATGGTGCCACCTAGCGAGAGGGACGCGGAAACACAGAATCATGAATGAATCGAGCGCGTAGTAAACGGTGTATGGAAGGGAGACTCGGCAGAGGCTATCCGGGTGGCCGGCGCGCGGCGCGCCCTTAGGCATCGGCCGACCCTTCGGACCGCGTGGGGTCAGAGGTCGCGCTCGGGAAGTCTCGGCTCTGGGTTTTAGCGCTGTGCAGTCAGGAAGGGAGGGGAGGATAGCGCTAGCCCGACTGACTAGTATCTCGGCTGATTCGTGTGGGGTGGAACGGATCACAGAACGGGATGGTGGCTAGTGGTGGATGATGGGATGGTGGTTAGGTTATAGTGCGTACTGCGTAGAACGTAGTTGAACATGCTTTTTTCATGGCAAACAACATGCAGCATAATGTGCGGGATTATGCCAGAACTCATACAAAAAGGAACTAATATTTCGGCCGAGGGAGTGGATGAGTGCCGTGACAAAGCATGACGATGCTGCCAAAATCGGGATGCTTGTTTGCTCCCATTTTTTTTTTTATTAAGTTTTAACCCTAACATGCAGCGCTTGATCCGAACTTAGAGGTCCCCGACTGACCTTGGACTTTAAAATCGCACCCGTCCGGTGCGCCACCTTTTCTTCAGGGGCGCTCTTCTTGGTTGTATCTGTTCTTACCAATAACTAAAGCAAATCGAATGTATAATAAAAAGGGCATACCTCAAACACAGTTTAATTAACATCCGCTCGTGTGCATACTTGTTTTTACCTATACCTTCTCGCATCATAATATATCACTTCAGTGCTTAACCTTCAACGGAATTTTGGGTTTTCTGCATATACCCCGGCCGAGGGGGGGGGGGCGATTACGACCCCTCTCCGTCTTTTTGCCCCTAATTGAGCAGAGCCACTCAGGCCACGAGGCTGACTCAAGGAGGTCATATCGCTTCTTCGATGCGGAGTCCACTGGTGGCTTCCCGACTCGCTAGCTCAATTTGATCGGGACTTTTTGGTGAAATCTCCTGTGACCTTAGTGACGTCATAAATAAAGTCGCCTAACTTTAAGAATGGAAAAGTGAATGCTGGGGCTCGCAAAAATTGTATAAAATCGCGAATTCATGCGCTTGAGACAACTTTAGATGGCTCCCGACGTCAAAATAACAGTTTTCATATTTCCCAATTGATTAATAAACGTGAGGTTGCGTGACCGGCCTGACTTCAGGTGACTCTTAAGAAAAATACGAGATAGCTACATACAAGTTGTGAGGCCTCTGGGAGATAGTACTAATCATATAAGCTTCATTCCCCGTTGAAAAGTCCCCTGGCACGAAGGGTGCTGCGACGTCGCGACATTTTGGGGCCTTACAGAGGTTCACTTTTGACGCCATTGGTCAACGGCCTGACCTTAACCTTCGCACTTGTAGGAGGGTGTCGAACAGACCTCCTACCCTCAGTTTTTCGCAAATAACTCGCGCAAAAAGCGGCTGATTGCGGCGAAACTTTTAGTACCCTCGAGGTATTCAATATTACGCCTACCCTATAATTTGCATGACCATGACTCAAAAGACCTTTGACTTGTAACCTGTTTTCCGAGACCATGTTTGGCCGGAATCGCGTTTTGGCGTATTTCGAGTAGAACGCGTTTTATTGTCTTTTTGTGGCTTTAAGCGATCAAACATGTGAAAGGATGTTGATCGCATGGATTCTAGTGGGCATCAAGGTCACGTGAAGATCAGTCAGGTCACTGACCTTTGATGACCTTTGTTCACTCTTTCGAGTTCTACATGTTTCTAGGGTAGATTTTGGAGTTGATTTCGCATTCAGAAACCGTTTGAACATTTAAGAAGTAGTTTTGGTTCACTCGTAACATGTGACCTGACCTGACCTGACCTAACCCGACCTGGCCTAAATGCACGAAAACATCATCTGTGATCAAAACTAACTTGAATTTCGTGATCAGCACCCCGCCAAACCCTATAATAGCTTCACTTTACGAAGCTCTAACAGGTCCCGATTCCTCGACTTTTGAGTTATATTGACCTGTCAACCAATGACCTAGGACCTTAACCCTCGCCCGTATTGGTGTTTTTCCAGCCGCGAACGTATAAGGGGGGGGGGTCCGTTGGACCCCCCCCCCTTGCCGTTTCGCCCCTGATCGAGCTAGAGCTTCGCAGAAAAAACGAGCGTGTTGTCCGTGACGAGAGGAAGCCGATGATACCCAATTTTAAGGTCCTAGGTCATTGGTTGACCTTGCAGGTCAGGTCAACGACTCAAAAGTCGGGAAAATCGGGACCTGTTAGAACGTCGTAAAGTGTGGCTGCTATGGTTTTTTTTTTCGGGGTGCTGATCACGAATATCATGTTAGTTTTGATCACAGATGATGTCTTCATGCATTAAGGCCAGGTCGGGTCAGGTCAGGTCAGGTCAACCAGTAAGGGTATTCGTAGTAGTTGGCAACCGCCTCTGACAGCTTCGTAACATGTTACGAAGGCACCAAAACTACTTCGTAAATGTTCATATGGTTGCTAAATTCGAATTCAGCTAAAAAAACTGGCCTAGAAACATGTAAAACTCGAAAAAGTGAACCGAGGTCATCAAAGGTCAATGACCTGACCTAACCTCAGGTGACCTTGACACCCACCCTAATGCATGGGGGCAACATCATATCACATGTTTGAACGCTTGAAACCACGAAAAGACTGCAAACGCGCGGCTAATGCGAGCCGACATACGCCGAATCGCGATTCCGGCCAAACATGGTCTCGGAAAAGAGGTCACAGGTCAAAGGTCATTTGGGTCAGGGTCAAAAAATTTTCAGGGTAGGTGTAAAATTGATCAATGCAAGGGTACTGAAAGTTTCGTTGCTATCGGCCGCTTTTTACGCGAGTTATTCGCGAAAAACCTTAAGGGGGTTGCATCAACCCCCCCCCCCCCGTGCCGGCGAGGGTTAAAATTGGGTATCATCGGCCTCCTCTCGTCACGGGCAACACGCTCTTTTTCCGCGAAGCTCTAGCTCGATTAGGGGCTGAACGGCAAAGGGGTCCAACGGACCCTCCTCTCCCTCTTTACGATAGACGCTGGCAAAACACCAATATGGGCGAGGGTGAAAATACAGCTGCTGTCATAAAAATTCAGCTTGAACCAAAGGTCAGGCTTGCCAAATTTCAACTCTCGCAGCTATCAACAAAAATAAGCATGTGGAGGCGGCACCCGCCTCCCCTCCCCCTCTCGGCCACTGCCAGCGAGGTTGCGTATCATACATGTTACAAAGCATCATATCAAGATGACACACCCCAGCAGCCTGAACAAAAACTTGTTACCCACGCTAGTCTATCGGCACCATATATAACACATGATCGAGACTGTCGTCAGCCACGGACGCGCACTCGACCAACCCTCTGAGCCCGTTGATTGCGGGTGACCTTGACATGTCTAGCCTGATCGGCGGCCGGCCGCTGTCGTGCGGTCGTTACACGCGGAGGGGAGAGAGACACAAAGTTCTACGTTATAGCTGACCTCTGACCTTTCCCTGCGCCCTGGTCACCGACCCCGCTCCATGTCGCTGGGCGGTGGCATGGCGGTGGAAACCGGTTCTAGCCTCTACACATGCCACCATTCTAACCCTCCCCTCCCCACGCTACTACGCGGCGTGGAGAACGCTCGTGCGTAACTGGGCGGAGCAAGGGGTCACGCGATACAGGGGCGGAACTGGTTGCCCTCCCGCTCGCCGAGCGACCAACGACTAATACCCTGGAGAACCGTACCTATCCGAGCTACATAACCCAGTTTGGTGCGGGAACGACAGGCGATTCTGCAGTCTGGTCGTCATTAAACCCAAATAATCCCCGTCATCGTAATTGGTGCGGAAATTAAGCTATCGACCTTTTTACAGCATTTATCATAAATGTTGTTTTGTCAGATACGTGCTAAGTTGATAACTATCTTACCTCTAGATCCAGAAACTGTCTTGATTTGTGGCTAGTCGTCCTTTTGCTCCTCCCCCCCCCCTAAAAAAGCATGGGTTCGATGGTGTTCAAGACGTATGTCTTGGTCGGTGCCGACTGCCGCCGTTTGACGCCCCCCCCCCCCCCCCCGTCGGTCGGCAGGCGGAGAAGACGGTGCTGGTGCCGACGCCGCGGCTCCGTCACGGTCTGTTCAACCGGCTGACGCCGCCGGGACTCTCCAAGGAAGAGCTGCGCCGCGTGTCACGCGCCGAGGGCGTCAGCAAGTTCAGCTCGCCCGTCGGACTGGACAACATCGTGCCCGTGGACCTGATCGTCGTCGGATCGGTGGCCGTCTCCAAGGATGGTGAGCTGGAGAGATTTTCGATACATGATCTGGCCTCTTCATTACCCACAGATTGGACAGTGGATACATAAGTTATGAGTTTTGATTTTGTTTTCCTTCATTGTGTAGCGGTTGTCTTTAACTTGGTGGTTGAATTGGTGTTTCAATGACTCCTTACTCCTGTTCATTTGTCATCAAATATGTGCCTCCCTTCCCACACCAGGATACCGAATCGGCAAGGGCGAGGGCTACGCTGACCTGGAGTACGCGATGGCTCGCGGCTCGGGGGCCGTCTCCGAGGATACGCTGGTCATCACCACCGTCCACGACGACCAGGTGAGCGGCGGGAGACGCTCAGTCGACAGGCTGGTTGCCCGGCAGCTTTTGTTGGTGTATATAGACATTGCAGCGTTGGGTGCTTGTCATTTCAGGAACATTTCGTCCGTGTTTTATATTAAAATTGTGCGCTTTGAACTCACAATATCAAATACGGTGCATGAAACTTTGTGCACGGAGACGATTATTGCGTCAAAAGTAATATTACTGTTCATCGTGCGTTCACTGCTCGTACCTTGACCCAACCCGAGTCCCGTCTGACCGGTCACGCTCTCCGGCCCAGGTGTTCGCCTCGCTGCCGCCGGAGCTGTTCGGCTCCCACGACCTCACCGTGGATGTGATCGTGACACCGACCCAGGTGATCCGCGTCAGCAAGCGGCACCCCAAGCCGACCGGCATCATCTGGAAGCTGGTCACACCGCGCAAACTGAAGGCCATCCCCGTCCTGAAGGCTCTGCGTGAGGTCGAGGCAGTGTAAGTATAAAGATGTCGGAACAAATAGGCGAACAGGCCGCCTGCATAGGCAAACACAGTTTTATTCAGCTGTTTTCTATTTCTTCACGTATCGTTGTTGAAAGGAATTACTGGCCAGTGCTTACGAATAAATAGCAGTTCAACTGGTATTCTGCTTCATGTGTCGTCTTTGGCATATATGCTAGATTACGTAAACGATTTGTCGCGGATATTGACGTTCACTGTGTATCGCTGACAGGGCCGGCAAGGACGTGACACTCGGAGAACCAACGGAGGCCGAGCTGGAGGACGCCGCCGCGCGCAAGGGCCGCCGGCTGCGGGCCGACATGGCCCCCGACTCCGGCCGGCCGGCCGGTCCCGGCGGGCCGCGCCGCCGCCGCCGAGAGGTGGGCGCCGGTGACGCCGAGCCCTCGCACAGCGACTACGACGATGACGGCACGGACAAGCGGCGCCGGCGGCGTCCGGCCGCGCCGCGCCGCCGCCGCCGCGTCGCCAGTGACGCGGCCGCGAGCGACGCTCAGGAGGAGCCCGAGGACGAGATGCGCCACCAGCAGCGCCGCCGGCGCCGGCCGCCGCCGCCAGTCGAGCCGGTGCGACACGCAGACGAGGAGACGCGGCGGCCGCGCGTGCGTCGCGAACGGCCGCCCATCGACCACGCCGACGGCCTGACTGTGATCGTGCGCCGGATCCCGTCCGACGCACGACCCCGCGATCTGCGCGAGGCCATCATGGCGGCCGACTCTCCGGCCACCATCCTCTCGTGGAAGGGCCGCCAGGGCGTGGCGCTGCTGCGCCTGCGCTCGGCGGAAGATGTGGAGCATCTCCTGGATGCCGGGGACAGCTTTAAGCTCGTCAACGAAGTGGTGTTGCTGGAGAAGTACGACCAGAAGCGCGCCGCGCCGCCCGCAGACCGGCCAGCTCGCTCGGAGAGGGCGGACCGCTCAGAGCGGCCCGAGAAGGCTGAGCGCGCCGAGCGGGGTGAGCGCAAGGAGCGCAGTGAGCGGAGGAGGCGGCCGGAGCGCGAGGATCGGTCGCGCAGCGGCGGGCGCCGCCGGCAGGGCCCGCGGCCCGTCTCGCACGAGGAGGCTGAACTGACGGTGTTCATCGGTCGGCTGCCGGCCACCACACGCGTACGCGAGCTGCGCGCCGCGCTGCTGGCTGCCGGCGCGCAGGAGCCCTCCATCGCGTGGAAGGGACGCCGCGGCATGGCGTTCGTGCGCCTCAAGACCCCGGAGGCTGCCGAGCAGCTGGTGGCCGCCGCCGACCAGCTGAAAGTGATCAGCGACGAGCTGGTGGTGGAGCGATACAAGGGCCGCGAGCACCACGACTCCGAGGACGGCGCAGAGGAGACGGAGAAGGCACCCGCCAGAAAACCCCGCAGGGAAGCTGCGGAGACGACCACCGTGGTTGGCAATGGGGAGAGCGAGAGGGTGCCGACGGCTACTGTGAAGGAGGACGTCAAGCCGACAGTGGATGGCTCAAAGAAGAAAGACAAGGCTGCTGATGCTACGAACAGCACGGCGAAGCCCGCGGCTACGCCGGCTACGGATTCGTCCAAAGCAGCCGCTGATGGTGCGGCGAAACTCTCCAGTGATTCCAAGCCTGCGGAAGCAGCGAAGTCACCACCAGCGAATTCGAAACCAGCGCCAGTAAAAGATGAGCCGGCACCCGCTAAGGCCGAGCCGGCACCCGCTAAGGCTGAGCCGGCACCCGCTAAGGCCGAGCCGGCACCCGCTAAAGCCGAGCCAGCACCTGCCAATACTGAGCCAGCACCGGCTAAACCCGAGCCAGCTCCTGTCAAGACTGAGCCGGCACCCGCTAAAGCCGAGCCAGCTCCTGTCAAGACTGAGCCGGCACCCGCTAAAGCCGAGCCAGCACCCGCTAAGACGGAACCAGCACCTACAAAGGCGGAGCCAGCACCCGCAAAGACAGAGCCTGTGCCTTCAAAGACGGAGCCCGCACCTGCAAAGCCCGAGTCAACACCCGCTAAGACGGAGCCAGCCAAGACAGTGTCTGAGCCTGCAAAGGCGGCGGAACCAGCACCTGCCAAAGCGGAGCCGACGCCTGTAAAAGCAGAGCCGCCTGCTGCACTGGTTAAAACCGAGCCCGTCCAACCGGACCCAGCGTCCACTAAGAAGTCTGAGTCGACGCCGGCCGACAGTGAGCCTGCGAAAAAGGCTGCAGAGCCTGCCTCTGCGAATGAGTCAACGCCGGTGAAGACGGAGTCAAACGCTGACAAACCGGACTCGAAACCACCGCCAGCGAACTCGGAACCGGCGAACGTGAAAGCAGAACCAGCAGAGACCGACTCCAAGGCGGACAGTGCTGCCGCTGAGAAGCCGGCGACTCCGTCCGAGACGACGAATCAGGCGCCTGCGGGCGACGCCGCCGCCTAGTCTCTGCGGGCAGCGGACGCGGCTCCCGGCTGTGGCTGCCCCGTCACGCTGGCCGCTAACGCTGCCTGCCCTGAGCACACACTGCCATACACCCATGGGTAGAGCCCTTCCGTTTGCGTGCCGCTTGTAGGTGTTCTGGTGGCGACCGTCTTAGTCTGCGAGTACCTGGTGCGGCGCGCCTCCAGCCGCGCAGCCGCGCCGTGAGGCGGCACGCTGCGGCCGGTCGGCAGGCCGGCGCCGGCTCGGTGGTCGCCCGGCACCGGCCGCCGCCTGTCGTGCCAGTCGTGTGGTATCGTCTCATCCGCATGCCGCCTGGGAGTCCGGTGAGCGACTGTAACTGTGTTCTTATTAAGACAATCTAGGTTTTGTGGGTGGTGTGGGCTCAGACTCGGGCGTACGTACCTTTGTGAGTTGTATCATCCGCAAGGGTTAGACAAGCGATGACAATATCGGGAATCTTGAAAATCTAGGAAGAGCTTTCAATGTGTGCAACTCTCGCTTAAAGTGCGACAATATGGAGAATCTAAAGCGACCTCATTCTTGCAGCCTTCGGTAACTCGAAGGAACTGATGAAGATACATACTATTCAATGGTGCTCTCTAAATCTCAAAAGCGATGCTTCCTTCGTGCACAGATGCGGGGCGATTAGAAATATGGTTACTGGTTGCTTCACGTGTGTTCGTCTTAATCAGATCATGCCTGCTCCAACCATCATGCACAGCTCAAATTAACATCTCAGAACTTTCCGTGCTGTTTTTCGCCGTTCGCCCTAAGACCTCTGGTTCCTTCGTTTGTTTCGTTTACCGGGGGACAGGCGCGCGGCGCCGCATGCTTCAGTTGCATAGTTGGCCGTGTGTTGGGCCGCGGAGGCTGATCGTTTGTCGGTTTGTGTTGTGTGTTTGTGGTGCCGCGCGGGGCCGGTCGGTGGGCACCGACCGATGGGCTGAGCCGTCCAGCGCTGAGGCGGCGTTTGTGTTGCGTTTAACCCTTGCTAGGAGCTGTGGGTTGATAATTAATGTTGACTGGTTATTAATAAATATTTCAACTAATTTTGCAATTTCATCTCATCACTCAAGCAAACATTTGAATGTACGCATTCTGAGATGAGAGGTCAGAGGAGAAAAACTTCAAATTGGGGGTGGCGGCCGGTGGGTTACGACTCACGAGCTTTGAAATTTCAGGAGCATTTGAACCGCGACGAAAATTGATTTCATTCATATGCAGGTTTTACCAGTGATTACTTTACCGCTGAGATCGGCGTCATAACGGAAAATCACAGGGGGCTGCCGCGTCGATGGTGTTTCACCGATGATAGTACCGTGGATCACCGTGGATCTTGCCGTGGATAGCAGCACGCTCCTGTTCCATTTCGCGAGCTGACGTCGCCCTTCTGGTAGTGTTGGAGCAATGGGCTTATTGATGTCTTGCCTCCATAGTCCTTGGATTGGAAAACTTACTTGACACGTGCTGCTATCACCGGTGAAGTGAAACACCACCCAGATTATTTTACCGTAGAAAACGGTGTGACGTCATGTATTTGGTAGCGATATGGTAGCAATTAGGGCCGACGATTCTGACGAACATGTTACAAACAGTTGTTGATATATTTTACTGCAACACTTTGCTATTTAACTGCTATTTCATTCTTCAATAAGATCAGAAGAGCGGAAGTATTTCTATATTGCCTTAGATGCAAGAACCAAGCTTTCATATTGCCTATCTTGCTGTTATTCTTTGAGGTAAGCAGTGTGGTGCGTGTGCCTTTATATTTTTTCGTACATACACAGCCTCAAAATGAAAAGTGTGAAAACTGCGCCTATGTTGATGTCTGTAATCTGTATATCAATATCTATGCGTTTATCAAACTGTTATTATTATTCAACTGTTATTATTTAACGCTCATTCAGCACTTGAGAATGTTAAGTGATCATAATTCAAAGGCGAGGCTAAATATTTTTTAGGTAGGTAAGTTAGGTACCTATTAGATAAATTCTGATTCATTAAACCATCAGCAAGATCAATCTGCTTGAGCTGCCGTGGCCAAGGCCCTAAAACATAGCTGTTGCAAAGTTGAAGCCAAATTGTCAAAATACGTACCTGCTTATCAATGTTGATATGGCTGGGCAATTAAAATTTGTTTCAATGCAGTGAATCTTATTTACCTGGAAGCAATTAAATTGAAATAGGTTATGGTTTTATTATTTGGCTCATGCATCCCTGTGGCTATGTCAGATGTATTTGGTTATTGCAGGTAAAAACTAGTAGGTAGGTATGTAAAAATCATGTTGCTGGGAAACACCAAAAATCAGAACACTTGGGTGTTAGTAGAGCGGACGTCACACGAAGGTTTTCCAACGGAGGAAAGCAGTTTGCCAGGAGGTACTTCTTTCTAACAAAACCTCAACAAACCTAACCTACAACCTACAAACCTACAGCGCCTCTCGTCAGTTGAAAAACCTTTGTGACGTTTGCTCTACTTACGCCAACATTTGTGCCTCATTTCAGGCATCTCCTTACAGCTGCCTGTTGTTTACCCCATTCAGAAGCAAGTCAGAGGCTGAGCTTCAGCTATGTTGAAGAAGGTGTTGACCCTGGTGCTGGTGAGGGATGTAGCCCAGCAACGTGTTTTGCTGGGAATGAAAAAACGTGGCTTTGGTGCTGGAAAGTGGAATGGCTTTGGAGGCAAGCTTGAGCCAGGCGAGACAGTTGAAGAGGCAGCCAAACGGTGAGACATTTACCTGTTATCTTAATTTCAACACAAAGCTTGGAATGCTGTACCTACCTATCAGGTATAGGATCATTCTGTTATGCAAGTCAAATCTCTCATTGATCGTAAATACTGCATCAATAGTATAGTCTGTGAAGTGTGATGTAATAGCTCTTGACATTACTTGCGCCCCTCTTAAGACCACATGGTTTTTTAATGTAAACTTTGGCCTCACACAGAAATTAGATGTCTGCTTAAAGAATAGTCAGTGACCATTGCATCAACTCTTGACAAGATTACTTTTGACCCATGGGTAATCCTCCAGCATATGAACCTCGTGGTACCTACTTTATTCAACTACAGACAGTTGAGCAACATTGCATGATAAAATCTATTATGTGTGGCAATGGTTAGAACATAATCATAGAACGAATTTGTCTCCAGTGGTTAACCCTCGCCCGTATTGGTGTTTTTCCAGCCGCGAACGTATAAGGAGGGGGGGGGGGGGGGTCCGTTGGACCCCCCCCCCCCTTGCCGTTTCGCCCCTGATCGAGTTAGAGCTTCGCGAAAAAAAAAACGAGCGTGTTGCCCGTGACAAGAGGAAGCCGATGATACCAAATTCTAAGGTTCTAGGTCATTGGTTGACCTTGCAGGTCAGGTCAATGACCCAAAAGTCGGAAAATCGGGACCTGTTAGAACGTCGTAAAGTGTGGCTGCTATGGGGTATTTCGGGGCGCTGATCACGAATATCATGTTAGTTTTGATCACAGATGATGTCTTCATGCATTTAGTCCAGGTCGGGTCAGGTCAGGTCAGGTCAACCAGTAGGGGTCCTGCCGGGTATTCCTAGTAGGTGTCAACCGCCTCTGACAGCTTCGTAACATGTTACGAAGGCACCAAAACTACTTCGTAAATGTTCATATGGTTGCTAAATTCGAATTTAGCTCCAAAAACTGGCCTAGAAACATGTAAAACTCGAAAAAGTGAACCGAGGTCACCAAAGGTCAATGATCTGACCTGACCTTCAGGTGACCTTGACACCCACCCTAATGCATGGGGGCAACATCATATCACATGTTTGAACGCTTGAAACCACGAAAAGACTGCAAACGCGCGGCTAATGCGAGCCGACATACGCCGAATCGCGATTCCGGCCAAACATGGTCTCGAAAAGTAGGTCACAGGTCAAAGGTCATTGGGGTCAGGGTCATGAAATTTTCAGGGTAGTTATAAAATTGATTAACGCGAGGGTACTGAAAGTTTCGTAGCGATCGGCCGCTTTTTACGCGAGTTATTCGCGAAAAACCATGGGGGGGTCCGTTCGACCCCCCCCCCCCCCCATACGGGCGAGGGTTAATTTATAGTTTATTTCATCGTGGTGATCTTGGCCCCCTCATCCCGATTTTTTTTATGATGCGTCGATGTATTTTCCCGACCTCTTTGCAACTTTCCAGGGAGCTTCTGGAGGAGAGCTGTGTGCACGCCGAAGAGCTGCTGCCTGCTGGGCGCATAGAGTTCGAGTTTCAGGGTGATCCCTGCCTTCTGGATGTACATGTATTCACAGTGGAAAAATACAAGGGCAGCCCTCACGAAACCGAAGGTAAGCGGTAGGTAGTAAATGTTTTTACATAAACTTAGTTCTAAGATTTCAATGGTTGGATCAACTGAGCCACTCTAAGCAGATTTGTCACTAATTGATTGACGCGGTCTCATAGTAATAAGTGGAATCCGAATTGAAATGGTGAATGAGCATAAATCACAGCGTCAAGCGAATGAGAAATTGGCAAGGAAGTATGACAATAACTCGAGCGTTTCTTTTTGCGGCATCGGTGATTCTGTTTCCCTCGTCAACCGTATATTACTGAGGGCTCCATAGGTCGATCATAGGCAAGAGCTATGGTTGATGAATTGAGTTGATAAATTGTTTCTACTCGCAGGAGCTGCAGGAAAATCAGAAATTGCAGGAAAACTCTGCAGGAATTGCTTGTGATGTTGCATATATCGACTCCTTTAATTCTTTTATATATGGCCTTGATTCGTTGAACGTTCGTTAAATCAACACCAATGCTCATGGTCGTTTGTGTGGCATTCTATTCGGCAGAGATGCGCCCGCTTTGGTATGAAGAGGGTGAAATTCCCTTTGACAAGATGTGGGCAGACGACAGGTTCTGGTTTCCTCTGATGCTGGAAAAGAAGCTCTTCAAAGCACGCTTTCTCTTCAAAGGACACGAGACGATCCTTGACCAATCTTTACAAGTTGTTGATGCTTTGTGACGTGATATGTTGCTGCGAAGTGACTATATGGAATGAGCTGTATTTGAAGCTGGCATATCTGTGAGTTGCATCACGCTTTGTTCATCCTTGCATCTATTACTAAACATATCCATCAAATAAAAACGTTGTATTAAGAGCACTTTTATTTTGCATTCAGATATGTCGAATATTTTGCTTGCTTTCGTGTACCGATAAGTTGCATATCTCCGGTTTTCATTACGGTAATTCATGAAATCAACCGGACGTCCTTGGTCATTGTTCACGAATATTCCGTTCACATCTTGGTTGAGCTTCTCACTTTGAAGAAAACTGTGATAATATTGGTTTTTGCCCGAATGAAATAGACGATGACCCTTGTCCGCTAGTCCCTCAATGCCAGGAATATCACTGAGCTTGGATGGTCAACGCAAGAGGTCAACGTGCGTCCCAGGGCCTCGTTTCATAAAGCGAGTCCGTAACTTTTTTTTTCGCCGCTTTTTCGTCTTGTATTACAAGTGCATGTGAAGCGATGTATTTATTTCCCCTTTTCCCTTCTGTTCTTGCTTGCAAGATAAATAAATTCAACGATTCAAACTAACGTCATCGCTTCACATGCACTTGCAATACAAGACCAAAAGCCACCGTAAGTTACGGACTATATGGCCTTGACGGACTCGCTTTATGAAACGAGGCCCAAGTCTCCTTCGATCAGCATTTGATGGTTTTGATGTGGACCGTAGTCCGTAGGTAATGGTTGGGTAATGGGTAAATACAATTATAATGGGTAAGTATATCTGCAAACAACGGGCGAATATCTAAATCCGCGCTCCATAACTTCACGGCAAGGCCGTTTCTCGGGGTGGCAGATTTTACCAGTCTGAAATTATGCGCCGTGGACTCGCAACGAAATACTGCATTGATTTAGTGATGATTTGCTAGTGAAAACGGCGCTTCAGTTACGTTTGGAAAGTGTTCTATTTTCAGTGGTTCTATGCAAACCGTGTTGTTGGTGTGCATGTAAGTTTATTTTGTTTTTGGTGGATTCTTGTATTGAGTTATATTGATTGAAATAATTTCATTTTATGGATATTAGGGAATTAGGCTGTCGTTTTGACCTAAAAGCTTTGAACTTCAGCTACAGGAAGTCCGAGGATCCATGTTGTACCACAGTTGATAATGCGATAACATCCATGCTCACGTTTCGAAGAACATAGTTTTTAGGATTCAGTGTGCCAATGAGTCAGAGTGGCATTTGCCTGTAACAGTAAAAGCTATGCTAATTTTGCAATAATTTTGCTTAGGCAGTTGGGGCGACAGTTGGGTCACGGCTGGGTGGTACTACTTATTTCATAAATTATCAGAGAAGGTTGTAAAAGAACGAAGCCACAATAATATTAAAAAACCAGCGTGAAAAAGGTATGGCTATCCCATGGATGGTTGTATCCCTTGTCTAATCCATTATCCATGGCTCTCCCCTATTTGTCTGTAATTTGGCAACCAAACTGGAAGAGTAGGGGAAGCAGTGAACCATTTTTGTTACACATGTTTGTGCACAAAATGTCCTATTCACCCTGACATTTTTTCAAATGTCAAGATTTCCTTAATTGGTAGGTATACCTGCTTTGTTTATATACGTACCTACCTAACGCACAGCACTGAGGCCAGTTTTACCAACAGAAAAATAGCAGCCCGGCGCAATTTTTCTGTCAAAAACCCGCCGACGAGTTTCACCAACCAGGCGAAAAAATATCCGCCGGCGTGAAAAAATATCAGCCAGAAAAATAGCCAACGAGTTTCACCAACGGCAAATGCGGCATTAATGGAGTGTTTATCTGCGCCATTATATGTAGAAAAACAGCCCAAAAAAATAGACAGGCGACCCCGTCTGTCTATTTTTTTGATGTCGTGTGGGGATAATTGGCCTCATTTGTTACTAATTATCGTGATTTGCGCTTCTCAGTTGATATAATAATTAAGTATCATTCATGGCCAATTTGTAAAGCATCTGGGCTTCAAGATTAGAAGAGGAATACTGATGATATTGCGTAAAGAAAGAGCCTTTGTCACCAGGCAGGACCAAAAGGAACCAACAAGACGGGTGTTTGGTGTTGTGGTGTTAGTTTTTTCGTTTTATATTATCTTTTTGCTACCAGCACCCAACAGCAAGATGATAGCGCATTAACTAGTGGTCAGCTTACAAGTTCATTGCTCGCACGGAAGTGGAAAATAATGATGGAAGGTCATTTTCGAAAATCAAAGGTGATTGAAGAAATGCTGGAAGGAGAGGCACAGAGGGTAGGCTCATTGGACTCAAGATTTTAAATAAATATGTCACTGTTTTCACATATTCATCTACATTTGACATTGCAAGGTGCCAGCTACTGATACCACTACTACTTTTGGGTGGAACTTACTCGAGCTGTGCAGCATGGTGCATTGACATTGCTAAGACCAAAATGGCAAGATTTTCAAGATATAATAATTCAAGATAGTAATTCAAGATAATTCAACTCAAGATAGAATAAATTTAAAAAAGAAATTGAATAGCATGAAAGAAATGTATAAAGGCTTGTTTTTTAAGCAAAACGTGCAAAGTTTGCATGGTTGCGAACCCGAACAAACTTGCTGAATGCTGTCATAAGATTGTGCCACTGAACTCAGCAAATCATGCTGCCAATATTGAAGGAAAAGAAACTAATAGTAATGTTGTAAAATGTAAATGAATCCATAACTGATGTGTGTGCAGTGTGCACTGTGCTGATATTGAATGCATGTGTATCTTGCATGCATGAGTCATGCAGGGATCATGTTAAAACTGGCTGTAAGTATTGTGAGTTAGTTTTGCTAAATTGTGGAGGCACCAGGCAAATTGCGGTCAAAATGTTATTTGTTCACCTCAGCGCTGAAATTTCTGCACACAGAGTTTTCAGATCATGCGCCGAAATGTTCATGCAGCCCGTCCGTTACGCTGGTCATGTTGACAGTGACAAGGATTTTTTTCCCAGTCTCATGTTGAAATACAATAATAATTCACTTAGCTTGATTTTAGCTTATGTTTTTCATGCCAGTTCCTAGATAAGGCAGCCAATATTTTCTGTCATGTGAGAAATAAAATGACAATATGCACAATTGCGGGCTGTGGCATGTTGTGATGGTTTTCCTTGTTTATTGCTGAGGTTTTTCCAGTCTCTGCTGCAAAAACGGTGGTGAATCCACTGTCGTCCGACGGTTTCGATGACGCCAATCATCGGCGAGTGTTGCTGTGATGGCCGACCTGACTGAGCGCACAGCGGCAGCCGCCGTCGCCAATAACGACAGTGAGAACACCTCCGAGTCGGACGGAGACGCCGCCGCGGACGACTTCACCGTGCTGGACGAGGTGGAGCGCTCGAGCCGACAGGCCGTGCACCGCGTGCGCTGCCCGACTGGCTGGCGCACCCGCAGCCGATTGGCGACCGGCGGCCGGCGCCGGCCAATCTGCCGGCGCTCTGCCCCGAGCTGCGCGCCCGGCTGGCCGCCGAGGGCATCGAACAGGTGTTCCTGGTGCAGGTGACGGTGCTGCCCGAGTTGCTGGCGGCCGCAGAGTCGCCGCTGCCACCGGCCGACCTCTGCGTCTCGGCGCCGGCCGGCCGCGGTAAGACGCTGCCGTTCGTGCTGCCGCTGGTGCAGGCGCGGCGCCGCGGTGCGCCGGCCGCCGGGTGCGCGCGCTAGCTGTGCTACCCACACAGGCGCTGCCCGCTCAGGTGCCCGCCGTGTTCCGCCAGTACGACGCCGACACGCCGCTCTGCGTCCGGCTGCTGGGTGGAGACGAAGTGGCACGAGGGGGGGGGGCACCAACTGGTGGCGGTGGGGCCGCGCGGCCCGGTCTCCCTGGCTGATCGTGGTGAGCACTCCTGGCTGGCTGATGGATCACATACCCAGCGCCGAGGGCTTCTCGCTAGCGCACCTGCGCTACCTGGTGATCGACGAAGCCGACCGGGTGATCGAGATGGCCGAGACGGGCTGGCTGAAAGCGGTGGAGCGGGTGGCGGCAGCCACGGCCCGCCGCCCTGCATCGCCGGCCGGCTGACGGCCGCCGCCGTCTGCGCGCCTCACCTGCCGCTGCAGAAGCTGCCGTTCTTGGCTACCCTGTCACAGAACCCGGAGGCCGGAGAAGCTGGAGCGAATGTCGCTGTTCCAGCCGCGACTGCTGGTGGCCGGCACGGCCGGCCGCCGTCGCACTGCCCGGTCAGTTCGTCGGCAGGTTCACCACGCCGGCCGAGCTGAGCGAGTCGTTCAACGTGGTGGCGCCGCGGCCGCTGAAGCCGCTGCTGATGCACAATTTGCTCCGACAGCCCGACTGGCGGCGCTCGCTCGTGTTGGTCAACTGGAACGAGGCAGCGCACCAGCTGGAGCTACCGCTGTCGGTGCTGGGCGCGCGCGAGGCCGAGTTCCCTGGGGCAGTGCCGGCGGGCCAGCGCGGCGGCGGCGCGCGCCAGCTGAGATGCTGGTGTGCTCGAGGCTATGGCGCGCGGTATTGACGTGGACGCCGTGGACGCGGTCGTGTCGTACGACATCCCGGCGCTGTTGAAGGCACACTGCGTGCGTCGGACGGCGCGCGTTAGCCGGGCCGGCCAGGCGGTCACGCTAATGTTTGAGCGGCAGCGCAGCCATTTCTAGCGGCTGATGGCGCAGGCGGGCAAGGTGGACGGCCGGGTGCGGGAGACGCCGGTGCCGCTGTACGAGCTGCGCCAGTACGAGGCGACCTACGTCAGTGGAGTTCCACGCTAGCTTCTAGTTAGTTGATCGCTTTTTCACCTTTTTTACGCTCATCGCTCATGATTTATTTACATTTTAGAAATATTACAATGAATAGGTGTTTACCTTGTCATCAGCCCAGAAAAGTTAAAGTAGGTAAGGCGTTTTTAGTTGCATAATGTATATTTGTTCATGAACACGGATTTAACGTGTCCTAACTCCCAAATACTTCGATATTAGACCCGAGTTTTGCAAACCAGTCGAAAGGCTTAGAACGATCATTTGGTTGGGGCGTAGCCAGACGGCTCGACTGGGCGTGGAAGCCGGCGAAAAGGTGGTCACCACGCGATCATCATGTAAAGCGGTCTCCGTCGGACGATTGTGTCCGTGCGCAACGAATGATCTCGGCACACGTGGACG